TAATGCAGATGACTTGCATGAGCCTAATTAAGTAGAAGCAGGGTCACGGAAGTCCAGCGTAATATAATGAAGCGTGTACAGATCACATTTTTAATCTAAATTAGATTAAACTTTTTGTCTTTTGGGCGGCAGTGATATTGTCTACTGAAACAGTGTAATCAACTATAGTTTATCTGTTCAATAGAATAAAAAAAACTTAGATTTGTTTGGGCTTCTTCTCTTTGTCTTTTCCCCACACAAGTAGTTTTACTCCATGGTTTAAATATATGAGGAGATTTGGAGGATCTGAATCATTTTAGGCGTAGACCTACCACAAAGAGATAAAATCACCAGGTCAGGGGGGGGCAAAACATTGATATATCAATCCATATTCTTCAGGACATTTTCAATAGGAGCCTACGCGCTAAGAAAATGGCTGACAAATGTATTATTCTGTGGTTTATGCCTTAATCAGGGACTGGCCTAGATGCTAACATATTAGCACATATTAGCACGCTGATGGTGTCTCCAGATTTAGTACAGTATCGTGTAGGGAGAGTTTTTAGCGGGAAATAATGTTCTACTGTTTTTGTGTCTGTTATGGTCTGACGTGACCATTTTGCACGGTTGTAGGTGACCCCTGAGTGTTGTGTGGTACATGCATCAAAAGCCTTTTGTAAAGGATATTTTATTATCTACAGTCTGGAGACATTATGTTAAACAAGCATCAGGCAGTAAGGATTGTAAGGCCATCATCTAACTGAAGCGTGTATATTATACTGGGTTCTCTTTGTGCCGTGGAGAAAAAGAAGATCCCAAATTGTCTTAACATTTCACAACGTAAACACATCAGTCATGTGATTGGTGTTAAAAAACTGCCACAGTGCGACAATTTCACAACATAAATGTCATTTTATACTTCTTTTTGGAAGTCATGTGTATTTAATTGAGAACATAAAGAGTGTGTTTGATGTGTTTGCAGTCCTGTCCCATCAGTTGATGATGTGCGGGAAACTTCTGAAGCAATTGGAGACAGGAGCTGGAGCTTTGATGGCAAACACTGACGGTTTATTTGGAGCTTCGGCCGGAGAATTCACAAGACATGTCACGGGCCACGATCTGACCACACGGGCGAGATGCCAAATCAATTCTGAAGAGCTCTTCTGTAGTTCGACGTTTTAACTAGTTCGGAGTGTAATAATCAACATTCTTTATCAGCGAGACTAAACAAATATGTACCCTGAATCTAACTAGAGCTGTCATCCATAGAAAATAATGTGCGCCAGGGAACCTAAGTTTCAGAAAAGATGTCCCTGAACAATAAACTCCCTCATGGCGGCTTGTGCTCCTCATAAGCTGACAACAACAATGCGCCCAAGCTGCTCCTCCTTAAGAGAGATGGCAGCAATACCCAAGGCCGTAGAACGATGCCATGGGAAAAGAGACAGTGAAGAGAGAAAACGATAAACTGGGTCCAAGGTTGAATACCTAAGCAAATTATTCCCTAACAGATAATATGTCTGATTTTGCAGAAATCTACAATTGACAGCAAAGGAGGTTTTATATAAGTTTTAAAAAATGACATAGCCTACTACATTCAGAATTTATAAAATGCTTTCTTATTTTATTTTTAGAGCTTTACCCGGTGCAGTTTCCTCCCCAGGTGTTGTGTGATTATGAATAAAGTGCTTTCAGAGCAGCAGCCTCAGCAGGGTTTCTGCAGAAGTGTCCTCTCGTGCACCATCTGTTGGCACGTTAGCCGAGCGCTGACATGCAGACTGGCAGGTGGAGAAATTCTCGCTTTGGGCTAAATTGGCTGAGACACAAAGACAGGTAATGTAAAATGATGGGGAGCTATATGCAGTGTAAATGTGAGCGCTGGTGGCAGCAGTGTGTCACAGCTGTCACTTAGCTGCTTTAAAAGTCCAGGAGCTAAGTGACAGATTTACTCAGAGCATGAAATCATGGACAGTCAGCAGCAGAGAGGAAACCCAGGGAGATCCTGCAGGAGGAGATGGAAAGGAGACAATAGTCATTTCTTAATGTTTGGTGTGTTCACTCTGAGTAGGAGTGTTGTGTGTAGATGTGGTTGAAAAACTGCCAGGAGCTTCCTGGTTGAGGCCGTTGCTGGTGTAGTGCAGGGTTACCAACTCTCACGCATCTGTCGTGTGACACACGCTTTCACTCTCAATCTCACGCTCTCACGCTGCCCAAACTATTCTCACGCCAAAAACAAGATGAACCGGCGATCGTTTTTGGTTGGTTATTTACAATGTTGAGTTGACAGCTGCTCAAGCTGTCGATCCGCTCCCCACCACTCTTAACAACGTTAACAGACAGCAGAGCAGTGGGAGCCGGTTGGTCAATCCCCGCGGGACCCGTATTGCGCATGAGCAGATCTAAGATCCAGTAGAAATTATAAAAAGTAAAAGTCTGCTGCTTATTGTTCTACTAGACCAAATCAAATCAAGTTTTATTTATATAGCACATTTATAAGCGATGTTTGGTCGAGCCAAAGTGCTGTACATGTAATAAAAATAGCCTACAGTAGAGACACTTTATACAACAGCACAGATTGTTCAGATTTTCAGTATGAGAAAAACGACACCCTCTGTCCTTAGACCCTCTGTCCTTAGACCCTCTGTCCTTAGACCCTCACATCGTACAAAGAAAAACTTCCGGAGAAAACCCACAGTTTAAAGGGAACATGGGAGAAACCTCAGGGAGAGAAACAGAGGATGGATCCCTCTCCCAGGACGGACAGACGTGCAATAGATGCCGTGTGTAAATCGAAGAGATAATACATTTTACAGCATATAGACCGAATGTTTAAATTAATTTTGTTGGATACATTTTCCCGGAAATTATTGCGATAAACGATAATATTGTCGGCACCGTTGTATGACCATTTTAGACCACTGACATAATGATAATATATAATAATAATAATTCAAGTACATCCTTTCAAACTGCTAGTCACTGCCTCATGTAAATGGCAATTTATTGAGGTCAGAAAAGTTATGGAGTTCATTTTTATTTATCGTACGATATGTCAATTAATTGCTTATCGGGACAGGCACACAATAAAACAGTGGAAACAAACATGTGTTTGACTTTCATTAGTGAATGAAACTTAGTGCCCTTTATAGTCTGTGTCCAATATTGTGTATTTGTATTGTATATATATCCTATATATATGCGGTCCCGCTACTGACACGATAGCAGTCATTTTGTGCGCATATGTGTAATTAAACCCATGATATCAAAATCTCACTCCAGCCAGGTACCCAAAGTTGGCAACCCTGGTGTAGTGATATCATTTTATCAGAATACTGTATTCTTCCAGGTAATCAAGTGGTGCAGTGATAATGTATTTGTGTAGGTAGTCCCGAAAGTTAACCTCACAAGGGCTTTCTTGACATGAGAATTTGCAGCTCATGACTTCACGTCACCACCGCTACGCTAAAGGCGGCTAATGTTGCGCTATAAAGGAACTACAGCACGGTCACATGACTTCACTTCACAACCGCTTAGCTATAGGGGGCTAATGTGCAGCATGAAGAGGTTTAGTAGTCTGATTTAGTCCCTTCTAAGCAACTATCGATGTTATGACACGTAGAAGCTTTGGACATTCACAAGTGGCATTGTGTTTTTGTTTTCCTGACATTTTACTTCCTAGAGCAAACCTTTAAACATTACGGGGAACATAGTAACATATTAGCAGGCTGAAGCTCAAGTAATTGCTTAAATGTAGGCACATAGATCTGCTAAAATGGCTTCAGATAAGGTTTGTTAAAACAGGTGTCCTGTGAAAAGGTCTTAAATATGCAGCTAGCTACTTGCATGATAACATATAAAAACACTAAGGCTTACTGTAAGCTATGTCCCTCGCTATACATCTAAAATACCCTATCTTCACCAGCTATTGATCATTAATATAACACAAGAGACAGCATTTTTATTTTATTTACAGGGTAGCATCTATAAAATAAAGTTACAAAACATTAACAACAGACCTTACCTCAGGATAAGAACCAAAAACACATTCAGGAAACCATTGACTTCATGACCACCAGAAGAACTTTTTGTATCTCAGCCTGTGGAGTGAGATTATGGAACAGTGTGAATGTGGAGCTAAAGCGATGTCCAGACATTAACCAGTTCAAGAGGAAATACAGAGAAATTATGTTCTCGAGGTCAAGGGATGGGGAAGGTGTTTGACTATGTGTATGTGTATGTATGTATGTATGTGTGTATGCACATATGTGTATATGTATGTCAATCAACAGGTAAAGCAGATTAATAATAATGATAATTATTGTAGATTATAAATAAATCATTTAGGGACAAGGGGGTGAGATTAAATAAATTATACTTCTTCTCACTCCTTTTCGAACACTAGATGTGGGACTGTTTATGTTGCTAATGTTGTTGTTGTAAATGTCATTTTTTGTTTTGATTTCTCTTACATGACTATGCACTGCAACATTCGTTTTGTTTTGTAATTATTTATTTTACTTGTTCAAAATAAAATGTATCAATCAAATGACGAGTTTTCAGGGCTCATTCCTTCACCACTCTATTCCCATTTAAACTAACGATCTCGAAGAAGCTATGGTGAAAAGAAAGGGTTTATATTGAGCTGTGATTGAATCCTAAAGTAATGCACCCCCACTGCTAATAACACACTGGTTCTTCCTCTTTGTGTCAGACCTGTGTTTCCTGCTCAGCTGCTGATGAGGTTTTGGCCTTTTTTTTATGTGTGGGATTATCTTCTGTCTCCAGGTTAGATAGGAAACATTGGAGTTTGGGGATAGAGCTCCACAGCGCTTCATCTTGCTCACATCAGGGGTAGAAGCAGTGCTGGTGTATCAGTTAATTGCATTCATCTGCCTTCCCAGTTGTAATTCACTTCTTAATTAGTCGGCAGGAGTGAAAACCAGCAGGGATAAGAGGGATTGTATGGGGCCTCAATGATGGTTTTGATCAATAACTATTTCTCTCTTTCTTTTTCTCCACAGTTAAACCAATTGTTATAGATGTGGGCATATTTGTGAACAGCATTGGACCCGTGTCTTCAATCAATATGGTAAGTCAACAAATAAATCCCTTTGTTTGAACTGTTTTGTTTATAGTCACACAGCTCTGCATCTGTCGTCATGGTGCCGGAAAGTTATTTTGTCTGAAACCAGAGCCCAGTCTGCTCTGATTGGTTAGCTGGACGGCTCTGTTGTGATTGGTCAAATGCTTAGAGATGTCCCGCCCCTTAGCCTATCACGTGCAATGTGTTGGAGCGCTAGCCAGTAGATGGGCAAGTGTTCCATAGTGATGTCAATTTGTTCTGGAAGTCAACAAAGGAGTCCAATGGAGGCGTTTCAGTTTGGGAGAGAAACTCCCTTCTAAACCTAACTTTATTCACCTCAGATTTGCAAAACACCTGATTTTAACATCGTGTACTAAGACATAAAATACATCAGTAAATACCCCACTGGGGAATTTGCCAACAAGTGTCTAAATGACACGACTAAACGTCATCACCTCCAACATTAGCCGCCTTTAGCTTTAGCAGTGGCCCTGCGCAGCCATGTGACTGCGATGTCGTTTTTGTATAGCCTTACGTTAGTTTTCACTTCTGGTGATTTCATTTACGCTTCCAAAATCCTGAAGTGGTGTTAATACACTGAACACAAATATAAACGCAACACTTTTGTTTTTGCTCCCATTTTTCATGAGATGAACTCAAAGATCTAAAACATTTTCTATATACACAAAATAACCATTTATCTCAAATATTGTTCACAAATCTGAAAAGATCTGTGATAGTGAGCACTTCTCCTTTGCCGAGATAATCCATCCCACCTCACAGGTGTGGCATCAAGATGCTGATTAGACAGCATGATTATTGCACAGGTGTGCCTTAGGCTGGCCACAATAAAAGGCCACTCTGAAACGTGCATTTTTGCTTTATTGGGGGGGTCTGGGGGGGTCCGAAAACCAGTCAGTATCTGGTGTGAGGGTTAGGGGTAGGGGTAGGGTTAGGGTAATGTTGTGAATCGAGTGGCCCATGGTGGTGGTGGGGTTATGGTATGGGCAGGCGTATGTAATGGACAACGAACACAGGCCACTCGATTCACAACATTACCCTAACCCTACCCCTAACACCAGATACTGACTGGTTTTCGGACCCCCCCAATAAAGCAAAACTACACGTTTCAGAGTGGCCTTTTATTGTGGCCAGCCTAAGGCACACCTGTGCAATAATCATGCTGTCTAATCAGCATCTTGATATGCCACACCTGTGAGGTGGGATGGATTATCTCGGCAAAGGAGAAGTGCTCACTATCACAGATTTTTTCAGATTTGTGAACAATATTTGAGAGAAATGGTTATTTTGTGTATATAGAAAATGTTTTAGATCTTTGAGTTCATCTCATGAAAAATGGGAGCAAAAACAAAAGTGTTGCGTTTATATTTTTGTTCAGTGTATGTGGAGATTATCCTGCTGAACAAATCATGTTAAGAATCATAAACATGCGTTTGCCTCAGAGATTATTTTCTACAATAAAGTGTATTCTAATGGAAACTCCCATTGCCTTTTGTCGATAGACCACTTGTGATGCTAACTTTCGGGTTGGCCTATAAAAATGTGTGATCCCTGCCAATTGTGTCCATAAGCAACTTCATGTAATACTGGCTTTTGAGTGCATATCTCTACACCCCTCTGTGTGACAAGCTAATTTTAAGCCCCATTGTTGGAGAACTATTCATATACAGTATCAGCTGTCGTTCTCTTATTGTTTCTAATTACAATGCAGAATATAATCCTGGGTGTCGTGACTCTGCCAGGAGACAGATGGTGATTAATTTCCTTTGCTTTAGGGAATAACGTCTGAAGAAATGACATAACTTCCACATCGAATGCACAATCAAAGAGGGATTCTGAACGTTTGAACGAAAGGGGCTTATTAATGTCCATTAGCAAAGTAAAGCTTTGCATTGGGTCTTATGATATAACTGCACACATGCTGAGGCATCTTTGTTGCACCTCTTACTGAGGCTAGAGTATCTGCGTGGAGATCATCAGATATCTGCATAACTGGTTTTATTTTGTATTCATAAATACAATTAAAACCCTTTTCCTCTGCGAATAATACAAGGGGAACTCGCGTGATTTATAATAACCGCCAAGTTTGTGTTATGTGAGAGACGTTTACTGACAATTCACCAGAATATGTCAAAGCTCTGCATAATACCCACTTTTTGTATTTGATATATTAAACTGTACATCATTCACAGTTAATATTGTACATTTTATTTCATGAAAGGCCTATTTATGCTTTTGTATATTTTACAAGTAAAAATACTTTTTCTAAATGCTAATGAATTTTTGATACCAGTGTTACATTTATTTAATGCAGGCTCTAATTAAAAAAATATGCTTTTTGCAGCAATTAACTTGATTTCTCAATTCTGAAAATGTCACAGTATTGTGGTGGCTAAGTTTCAATATCCTGATGCGCGCACACACACACACTCACTCACTCACTCACTCACTCACTCACTCACTCACTCACTCACTCACTCACTGGGTGTTTCTCAATGTCGAGGAAGGCTCCTCCAGAGCCACTATTTCAAGGATGCTACGTCATCGAGTCCCGCCGAAGGACTGTTCCAATATCCAGGATCCTTGGAATTCTACCGAGGCCGGCGTACTTCGTTGCGGGAAATTTCGAGGCTGCACATGTGTATCCTCCGCGGTCTTAAAATCCCCACCATTCTTCATTTTCCGAGGCTAGGAAGGATTCATGCCTCGCTTCTGAAGGACCTGACTCGGAAGACATGTCCTACCAAGGAAGGGTCCTCGACATTGAGAAACACTCACTCACTCACTCACTCACTCTCACTCACTCACTCACTCACTCCCTTTATGGCTAACTAGGCTTGCTTAGCATTAGCATTGCTCTGACTAAGTGCAGGCCAGTTACCCAATGGATTTCTACAGATATCGAAAAATAAAGGTATTTATACAAACATAAGAAGATTTATAAAACAAAAATACAATCAAAATATATTTCGAGTTACAAAGTAAGTGAACAGAACTTGGAGAAGGCAGCTTCTTTGAATTTATGGAGAAGCTATTTTTACACTCCTTGGTAACACAGTGTCCAAAGCAACCTTCTGCAATCTAGAACCTCCTGCCAAACCAGAAGCCAAACCAGAAGCTGGAGCCAGCCCGATGCTAACCCCCCACCGCGGGGAGAGCTATCACACACTGCCCAAGACACACACTCTCCACGCCAGTTAATTTACCCCTGTGTTAGAGAGCTGCTGGCAGGATGTCCGCAGCATCTTATTTTCCCTAGCAGCTCAATATTAATGTGATATTTCCTCATATTTGCAGCTCACTGTAATTGTTTGGCTCCCACCTGCAGTGAGGGAAAACGTCCTTGAAAATGTTTCATTAACTCCCTAACAATGTAGGTGCATTTTATTGATGGATTATCTCGGCAAAGGAGAAGTGCTCACTATCACAGATTTTTTTAGATTTGTGAACAATATTTGAGAGAAATGGTTATTTTGTGTAATTAGAAATTTTTTTAGATCTTTGAGTTCATCTCATGAAAAATGGGAGCAAAAACAAAAGTGTTGCATTTATATTTTTGTTCAGTGTATATGGTGCTACTTAAGAGCATACTGTATAAAGATGTCATTACTTTTGTACTTTTACTTAAACAGGAATAATTATCCTGATGTTCAGGTGCATATCAGTATTTAGCATCTCTACTGTGATGTCTCCATGCTTTAATGTTCAAAAAGCTGTTTATTTTTCTCACACTGTCTGTGCTGCAGCACCTCTTTTCACCCTCTGTCTGAAACCAGAGCCCAGTCTGCTCTGATTGGTTAGCTCTGTTGTGATTGGTCAACCACTTGGAGATGTCCCGCACTATAGCCAATAAAATATGTGGGAGAGAAACTCAGAATAGGGGCCTTTTTCTAAAGTCAATATTTGTTTACTTTTTCCTTTATTGTCTTATTTCAGGGAAGCTAGTGTGAACCCTTCTTGCCAGTTTTAATGTGCATTTGATGTTATAAAGACAATAAGACATATCAACTATATGCATATTTGTATCGTTTTGTGCAGATTATTGTTACCCAAAACCTGCAAATAATTAATGGATGGATACTATCTCACTAGTATACTTAAAGATATTAGTTGAGTGAAATGTGAAAGGGCAGAATCGTGAAAGGTCCACTAAAACCAATAAAGAGAAAAGGCTTCTTGTTTTTTCACATGTTCCTCATTTGCAGTCCTGGCAGCCGCAGCACAGAAATCCCATTTTAATTTCTCCTTGATGGCGTGAAATGTCAACAAATGTTTTAACACAATGGGAGTGCTTTAACCTTTTAAACTGTGAAGAAAGAAGGAGTCAGCTTCTGTGACGAACGCATTAATAATACATTCAGACTTGGGGTTATCTCTCCCTTCCATCTTGAAAGGCAGTTTCCGGAGGTAGAAAATCTTTAGAAGCGCTGCACAACCACCGTGGTTTATGTGTGTTAGGCTGAAGAATATATAAAAAGGCATTGTTGAGGAGAACAAATGATATCGAGGGTTAACTTGATTAATTGACCTGTGAAACACAAGTCAAAGTCAACTTTATTGTCAATCTTCCAGTTTGTGTGAGATCGAAATACCGTTTCCCACAATCCCGAATATAAAAACAAATGTATATAAACATATGTGTGCAAATATGTATATATATATATATATATATATATATATACACAAAATCAAAGACAGATTTGTACATGTGCACACATTAAGACCTAAATAAAAACACAACAATCAATATATACAAAATAACAGTCACTTAAATATTTGAGAATGTACATTAGTGCAGATTGTCCATAGAATGTGCATTATTGCCATATTGCCCATGGCAGCGTAAAAAGTAATAAATAATGCACAACGAAAACAAGTGTGTGACATTAAGATCCACCTGCAGGGCAGAGCCTATCCATTTATTTATTTACTACACAAAGGGTGAAGGGGGAGGAGAGCCTTTCCCAGCATGCAGAGGGTCAAAG